ATTTTGTTTGAGTTTTCATTCATTTTTAGTGATTTTTTTTGTTGCTATTTTAGTAAAAAAAAAATTTATATAAAAATTAAAAATATATATTTATATATATAATAGGAAAATCAAACCGAACAAAATCTAAGATCTCAAATCGCATTTTAATTAAGTTGATTGACTATAATTGATTGAAACTATTAATTATGTAGTATCTCCAAACCACTGAATAACTTCTCTTCCAAATGGGTATTCCATCAATAATGTTTGGGAGTTATAATTTAAGAGCTCTAATAAAACTCTAATGATGTGGAGAGTGCTATGTGATATGGGGGCCCACACTCCTCTCTCTATCTCTCTCTACTTTCCCTCTCTTCCACCGCATTAGAGCTCCCATTAGAATTACTATTTTAAAATTATGTATCGCTACTCATTTTCCATTCTCCCTTACCTAATTTCCTCAAGATATCTTTATCTGATTTTTATCCATTAATTCCCCCAAAAGTATGCCCAAGGGGACTCTAAAATTCAAAGTTTAATCACCATGAACTCATCCTTCAATATCTCCACATCCCTTTTGTTTCTTTGCATTCTAATTTGCTTACTTATACTCAGAAGCAACCCCAACTTTCCTATATTCTTATTGCCCAAATACAACCACTTATATTCCTAGCAGCACATACCAATCCAATCTCAACACCTTCTTCTCAACTCTTTCCTCCAATTCCACCACCACCATCAATGGCTTCTCCAACTCCATAGTCCACGGCCTGTTCCTCTGCCGTGGTGATGTTTCCACCGCGGTCTGTCAAGACTGTGTAACCACTGCCATTACAAAAGTAGTCCAATGTTGTTCCAAGATGAAGCTTGCCATGATTTGGTAAGATGAATGTTGCCATTTTCATATATTTTTAAAGTATACATTTTGAAATAATTTAAACATTAAGAATTAAAATGACACAAAACTCAAGATTTAAAGACCAAAAATGCAATTAACCCATGAAATTATTAAGTACATTTCTTAACAAGTGGAGACACACTAAAATGAAACCTTGTTCATGATGCTGACACATGACACAACCCAGCGAGATAATCAAAGTCGTCGAAAAGTTAATTTCTTCTATAGAATTTTTAATTTTTAAACTTTTTAAATGAGTTAAGATTTTTGTAACAAAATAGAATCGGTTAAATGATAAATTAATTTCATGATCAAATTTAGCGTTAATTAAAAAAATTATTATTCATTATGGAGCAATGCTCTACACCTACCATTGATTGTGAGGTCTCTTAAAATAGATTAATTATTGGTATTAAGAACTATTGATCTCTTAACCGAAGATTGTAGCTAGGTTGTGTAATCATGATTTCAACCTTACGACAATTATAATTTAAATAATTATATCATGTAGAACCTTCTTATATTATATGCATCTTATCCTCAAGATATAAATAAAGATCAAAATAAAGTCTCACCACAAAATTAAATGACAACTATCCCCAACAAGGGAATCAACTAGCAAATCTTTGATAATTTCACACATAATATTTAGAATATAAATAATAAAATATTTTTTTAATATTTTAAAATTTTACATTAAATGATGATCAATAATTTATCATGATTTAAAACAAATAAAGGATTTTATATTGAGCACATAACTGATAATTATAATAACTATGTACATGTTTAATAGTCGGCAATTTATCACATCTTAACCCTCAAATTCGATGTTTGTTCATTAGATTTGTGCTAACTATGAGTCTTGTTAATGACAACTCTAAATGTTGTTAATAAAAATTAAAATATTTAAAATTTCAATGCATATTTTACACCACTCATAATAGTTTTATACATATTTCTTTATATTTTATACATTTCAGTACAATTTATATATATTTCAATACATTTTAAAATATTTGATACCATTTGTAAATCCGTTTATTTCTCTCTCATTATAGAAATTTGCAGTAGTTTGTGGGGCAGACTTGAACTTAGTAACTTTCTTAACTTTCAAATTATTGTGAGATAATTGTTCGTTGCGCGGGCTTGAACTTAATAGGCTTAGTCTATTTTATAATATAATATTTTTTATATTTATAATTATTTTCTTAATAATTGAAAAAAAAAAAGACTAGCATTAGTTTTTTTTTGTTAAATTACATTGACTCCCCTTAAGGTTTCTATTTAATACAGATCACCCATTACATTTGAAAAATTATATTCCCCTCCCTGAGGTTTGTAATCTCATTACAAAGTGCCCCCTAGATTGCTGATGTTATATCCTAAAATTTTCTAAATGACTATCTTGTCATTTTTCCTACCATTACTTTATCCTATTATCATGACTACGTTCTACAACATTTCATCATTAAGTTCTACCTGAACATATTCTTATTGAGTGATGAGAGGGAGATTTGTGGCCAAACAATGGGCCGAACTAGTTTGGGCTGGAGTTACGGTCATTAATCGATTAGACGCTCATGTGCACACTAGACCAAAGAATCAGTCCGGTCAACTTGGGAACGACATGGAACTACTAGCTTGGTGAATATGTGTCCTGCTGAGTTGGATGGACTTTATCCTTAGGGAAGGTCGGCTGAGCAGAAGCTCGGTCAAGCCCACTTCCAGGATTGACCGGCGAGGCTAGACAGGTAGCACAGTCCCTCGGTAAGGGCGTGGCGCCGCGCCAAACACATCTCAGCGGCCAGTGCTACGCGGCGCGATGGGAGAGCAGAAAGAAGATTTCGCTGCCCATATGCGTCAATACTGTTTGGCGGTTTGGTTATTTGGTGTTTGGTGATAATTGCACTTACACGTGGAGGAACACTAGTGGGGAACATATCCACGCGTCTGTTGGCTTTTTGGCTTTCGAAGGTTATTATTGTAATTTTGAGCATGCCAGTAAGGATCAATCAGTCCTTACAGAATATTAATTGCCAACCAATTATCAGACGATTGTGTTTTAGTTCTTTCAGCCTCAATGAAGAGGATTTTTACTGATGGCTTTGTTTAGGAGAATTAAGCAAACAATGATTAAATGAAGAATAATTATAGTATTTCATTAAGTAAAATGGAAGACTTACAAAGATCCAAATCAGCCTCGTAGAGGTTTACAACGACAAACTACTTGAAACTACTCCTATGAACAAAGTGCAGTGCAGGAATTTGAAGTACAGAAATGTAAAGAACAAGAAATGTAAAAACTGGAAGGAAAATAAAGTAGATAAAACTAGTTTTTTCGGATCTGAGTCTGGGGGTTTTTCTGGGGCCTTCTCTGCTATTTATACTTCTCAAGGAGAACCGTCGAAATGGATTTCTAATCCTCGAACCATCCCTCCATGATCGCTGATCATGTTTCCTCACAGTTAGCTCCACTATGCCATATCTACAATTAGGTTTCCCTCCTGATTTTGAATTTAAATAAATGAGTAACCATTAAAGCCACGCCATCTTGCACCGCTTTGCTAATTCAATGCTATGTAGATCCACAATAACCAATACTAACTGCCACGTGTGTGTTTACGATTAAATATTTGAATTGTCTTCCCGTATTACACTTATCCTGCCACGTGTTAAAACTGTGATTGGCCTATACAAAATATGTAGCCAACAGCGTCAGAAGGAGAACAAACAAAGAGGATCGCACAGAAACTATATAAACGGAGCTGCATATCCATGCATAGGTCTGAAACATCTGATTTTTTGAGCTACCTACCCCTTTGTCTCTCTCTCTCTGTGCTAACTTGATCGTCGGAGGGTTTTTCCGGTAGCACACCGCCGGGTAGCTCATCGTTTTTCTATTCGCAGATTGAGCGACATTGCACAGAGCTTGGACACGAGGAGTACGAAGAGCGACGGATATTTCCTCCCCGTACAAGTGGTGATATACAAAAATAAATTTTATATAGAATTTTCAAACACAATGATATAGTTTAATGGTGATCTTTCATTTTAAAACAAAACATACATAAACATGATTTATATTTACAAAAATATCACTACCACAAAATTTTTATGATATTTTTTGTATAAATTTTTATATATGAATATAATTTTTTATATTTATTTCCATCATTATATCTAGATTAAATTATTTAGAAAGTATAAAATTTGTACGAAAAATTAAAAAAAAAAATTCATTGAATACAACAAAATAAGATAATGTATTGAATTTTTGTATTTATATATATATTGTGTTTGGTGATTTTTTTTTAAAAAAAATTATAAAATATTATATTTCTTAAGTATATCTAGATTAGGTGTATCTAATAAATTAAAAACAAAACTTAAAATATTAAAAAATTAGTAAAAATAAAAAATATAAAAAAACTCAATTTTTTGTGTGAGTTAAACCAAGAAGATGGTTATTATTTTCCTTAAAATTATATAAACAAAATATCTGTATTATTTTATATGTATAAAGGTTAAGAGACAAATATATCATTTTAATCTGATAAAGAGAGTAAGAGGTGTAATTTTTTAAATATAAGGAGAGATCCGTATTAAATAAAAATATCAGCCTAATTTACTTTTCTCTTTTATTATTATTATTATTAGTAGTAGTAGGGACTAGCACCAGTCGTGTCCCCATGAAAAGTCTTCAATTGTCACCTAATTTTACACAACAACTAAACGTGATTGCCACTATGTTCCCATCAAAGTCTTCAGCAGCCAGCTTTCTTTTTTTTTTTTTTTTTTGTGTCATTTTTCCTCCGAAAAATTATATTCATTCAAATGTTGTGTTTCAAAAATTATTTTAAAAATAAAGTATAAAATATAAATTTAAAATAAATACATATAGACTGTACTAAAAATAAATATGATCTATTAATATAATTTTTAAATAATTTCATAGATAATTTTTTGATGCATAACATTATTATTTAGGATTTAGGATAGAAGAAATCTAATTTTATACGTTTGGAACTATCCTATTTTTAATGATTTTAATCATTTATAGTCAGTTAAATCAAGAAATTAAAATTCGAGATTTCATTTAATTGGATCCCACTTGAGAATAATACCTTCTCTTCCCAATGGATATGGCAATACTGTCCATTCTCCCCTACCTAATTTCCTCAACATATCTGAATCTGATTTTTATCAATTAAACCCCCCAAAACTATGCCCAAGGAGGCTCTACAATCCAGAGCTTGATCACCATGAACTCACCTTTCAATATCTCCGCATCCCTTTTGTTTGTTTGCATTTTAATTTGCTTCCTTATCCTCAGAATCAAAGCAACCCCAAATTACCTATACATTCTTTGCCGAAACACAACAACTTACACTCCCAACAGCACATACCAAACCAACCTCAACACCCTTTTCTCTTCCCTCTCCTCCAATTCCAACTCCATCAATGGCTTCTCCAACTCCACCGCCGGACTCAACCCCCCCAACATAGTCTACGGCCTCTTCCTCTGTCGTGGCGATGTTTCCACCGCCGTCTGTCAAGATTGTGTAACGACTTCAACCAAAGAAGTAGTACAAAGGTGTCCCAATTCGAAAGTTGTCACGATTTGGTACGATGAGTGCATGTTGCGATACTCGAACCAGACCATCTTCTCTATTGCCGATGAGTCGATTGCAGCAATTTTGAGCAATACACAGAACGTAACGAACATAACCCGTTTCACAGGAGTGTTGGGAGGTGTAATGGATGATATAGCCACACGGGCTTCGAATGGTGGGTCGGCTAAGAAGTTCGCGACAAGTCAAGCTAATTATTCATCTCTTCAAACGTTGTATGGATTAGCGCAGTGCACGCCGGACTTGACTGATTTGGATTGCAACAAATGTCTTCGAGATGGTATCTCGAATTTTCCGAGTTGCTGTGATGGAAATCAGGGTGCCAGGGTTCTGTTTCCGAGTTGTAATGTTAGGTATGAGTTATACCCTTTCTACAACGTGACCGCCACTGCACCGCCACCGCCTCCACCTCCACCTCCACCTCCTCCTCCACCTGCTGCTGCAAGCAGTCCAGGTAAATTCAAAACAAGACATATATAGATTTTGTTTGGATAGATGGATTTTGAAATTGAATTTTCTTGTTGATGCAGGAAAGGGAGGAATGTCAACTCAAGTACTCGCTGCCATCGTTGTTTCAATTGGGGGCTCTGTTTTACTTGTCATTTTAGGATCCTGTCTCATATGTAGGAAAAGGAAGAAGAAATATGATGTTGTTGAATCAGATATGAGTAAGACTAACTAAAAATAAAATAAAATAAAACTTGTTTTCTCTTGTTTTCAAATTCATTAATTGTATTTACATTTTGATATGTCCAGCTGGGAATGAAATCTCAGCAGTACAGTCCTTGCAATTTGATTTGGCTACAATTCAAGTCGCCACGAACAACTTCTCTGATGATAACAAAATTGGTGAAGGTGGATTTGGATCCGTCTTCAAGGTAAGGTGTCAGATCTAATTGTAAAATACACAATCATTCAAAAATATTAGAAGTTGCACAAATTTGGTTACAAAATTTCGGTGGATATCATTTGTTGTCAGGGTATAATTTCCAATGGACAAGAAATCGCTGTGAAGAGGCTATCTCAAGACTCAGGACAAGGTGCAGAAGAGTTCAAGAATGAGGTTGTGTTGGTAGCCAAGCTTCAACATAGAAATCTAGTGAGGTTACTCGGATTTTGCTTGGAAGGAGAAGAGAAGATACTCATTTATGAATTTGTGCCCAACAAAAGCCTGGATTACTTTCTATTTGGTTTGCCAAAGCTTCTTAATAATAGTTTTATTTAGCTAGATAATAACACATGATAGCCATGAGTGCACATTCTACAAAATGATTTCTTGCGCTTTTAGTTCCATTCCAAAATGTTCACATCATGCTCACATCTAATTCATCATTGTTAACTTAGAACATTTTTTTTCCCCCTTTTTTCTACTCAATATGCAGATCCACAAGAGCAAGAAAAGTTGGATTGGTCAAAACGTTACAAGATTATAGGAGGGATAGCTCGAGGGATGCTTTATCTTCATGAAGATTCTCGACTTAGAATTATACACCGGGATCTCAAAGTTAGCAATGTTCTGTTAGATGGGGATATGAACGCAAAAATTTCAGATTTTGGCATGGCTAGGATCTTTGGTGTGGATCAAACTCAAGGAAATACAAACCGAGTTGTTGGAACATAGTAAGTTTTGTGTCCGCACATGCAATGTATATATGTTCTTCTCTAATTTGAAATAGTGAGTACAATCTTTATGCACACACAAAAATTGTTGTGCTTACTACTCTCAATGGTTTCATATCTGATTTTTTTGCACACACAAAAATAAAAAAAGGCCTTAGATGCAATTTCTTCTTTTCTTATGATTATTACTTTTTTTGTTGCTAAAACAACGGTGTTGGGTTGCAGTGGTTATATGTCTCCAGAGTATGCAATGCATGGACAATTCTCGGTAAAGTTTGATGTGTTTAGCTTTGGTGTCTTAGTTTTGGAGATTATAAGTGGCAAGAAAAATAATACATTTTACCAATCAGAATGTGCAGAGGACCTTCTAAGCTATGTGAGTGATAACTAGATTTTATGACTCTTCTTTTTGATCTCAGTAAAAAATCATCATATCTACAAAGTCGTAAATAATGAATTGTTGCAGGCTTGGAAACTCTGGAGGGAGGAAAGACCGTTGGAATTAATGGATTCTACTTTGGAAGGGTCATATTCAAGGAATGAAGTCATTAGATGCATTCATATTGGCTTATTGTGCGTCCAAGAAGATCCAGATGCTAGACCTTCTATGGCAACGGTTGTTATAATGCTTAACAGTTACTCTGTTACTCTATCAATTCCTCAACAACCTGCATTCTTTGCTCATAGTAGAACAGAGTCAAAAACAGGACAAGGCTTAGAATCGGATCAATCTACAAGCAAGTCAATATCATGGTCTGTGAATGAAACATCAATTACTAAATTATATCCTAGATAATGTGAAATTTAGGCCATATCAAGATTCAATAATAACTCTATATTGTGAAATGAATAAACTCAAACTCAAATACAAAAGATATATTTCAATATTTGTAAGATTCAGAACACTTAAAAATGTAATTAGAAATTAAATATGTAATAGTGTGTTTGATAATTCATTCCCTTCAAGTATGTCATTTTCAAGTATGTTATTTATGTGTAGCATGTAACAGTGTGTTTGATAATGCAATCAAGTTCATTATTCATATTCAAATATATTTAATTTTTGTGATTTTAATTACAATAGTTACACAATTTTTTTTTTTTTTTTTTTTTTTTGTGTGTGTGCATATGTTGAAATTTTCTTAAGCACTTTATGGGCCTCTTAAATTTTCTTAATTCATATTTTAGCTTGAAAGAAATACAACTCTAATTATAATACTTAAATGACCAAAACGAGCTAATAAAATGGAGCCTTTTAATCTTTGACTGAGTTCTTCATTTTGATAAATTTACTCACAAAATTTTTAAATTCTTCATTACTATGACCTTCATTATATCTATACGTGTTTAGTTCATAAAAGTCAACAATTTATTATATAACCCCAAATTTGATACGTGTGCTAAATTATAACCCAATAAATTGAAAATTTGGGCTCAAGAGTCTTGACTAAGATAATAGTCCAATGAGCGAATGATAAGGGTGAAAGGGAAATTCCAAACTTCACATCACCAACGCACAATCCCACTCCTGTCCCCATCAAAGTCTTCAATTCTCACCTTATTCTACACAATAAACAAACCTGACTTCCACTCTATTCCCATCAAAAGTCTTCAGCAGCCAGCCTCATTTTTTCTCATTTTCCTCCGAAAAATGTTATCTATTCAAAATTTGTATTTTGAAAAATTATTTTAAAAATAAAACATATTGTCTAAATTTTAAATGAGTATAATATAGACTGTACTCAAAATAAATGTGATCTATTAATGTAATTTTGTAAATAATTTCATGATATTTTCTTGAGATGCAACATTGTTATTTTTCTCGACCCGGCACCCATTGAGAAAGTTCATTTTTATTGGTTTGGAACTATCCCATTATTAATGATTATGGTTAATTATAGTCAGTTAAAATCATCTCCAATGATTTCTAACTTTGTAGATAGCTCTAATACAGTAATGTTGTTTTAATGGTTCTTTTGCATTTATTAGCACTGAGAGGGGAATTTGTGCCGAGATATTTGGGCCGGTCTAAATCAAGTCCTTGGGGTTAGCTGGGCTATGAATTGGAAGATTGCATGGTTTGGGCCCCGCAGAGTTCGAACCGATCAAACATGTTGCTTGGTTTGATCGGGCAAACTAGGTTCAAAATGTGGGTGGACCGAGCTATGCTTCAATGGACTTAGAATTTGGGCTGAGGTTGGGCTAGTGTGGTTGTCCTCCAGTGGTACTCTGAAGGGTGGATCGGACTAGACTATCATATGAAGATTGGTCAAGCGTAGTTGGGCTCGTGGTGTTAACCAGGCTATTTGGAGTACCGTGTAGCGTTAGCATAGCGGCACACCACATTCGGTTTGTGCGGCACTACGCGTTGCTCAGTTGTCTCAAAGAACTAGCAAAGCTAAAACAGTACATTTGCTCGATTCGAAATCGTGCAAAGAGTTGTATCATCTCACTTGGTTTACAGTGAGGAGAGTGTTAAAGAATAGACGTTATCTTTTATAAATGTGATTTCTAAGAGGGCTCTACAAAGAAGAATTAAAAGTCTTGTTAAGATTCTGCCATGAGAAACTTATAAAAGCTCTAGCCTAACCTAATTCCAAGTATTGCAATTTTAGTACTCGAATTCATAAAGCTTTTCCTCCTTATTTGTCCTATTTGTTGACTTAAGTATCGAAGGGGTTTTCGGCACACACCTGTAGGCTAACTTATATTTGTGATTTCAGGTCATACAGCAACGTTTAGAGGAACTTGAGTTTGATCAACAGAATTATGCAAGTGATGATTATTCCATACTCGCACAAGCACAATGAATTTTCACTCCATCATTCTATCTACTATTTTACTATTTAACAACTGCAATTATTTAAACAACTTTTTGGAATCTTGTCTTTAAATTCAAAAGCTATATTTTTTGATAATTTTTTGTTTTTAATAAATATTTTTATAGATTTTTTTTTATAAATATTTTACTTTTTCTTAAAATTTTAAAAAAAGAATAAAATATTGTAAAAGTTAACTAAAAATAAAAAAATATAAGAAAAACAAAAAAAAAATAAAAAATTAAACCAAATCTGGTTGTATTGAGGAAAGATGGGGTGAAGGGAAGAGTTATTTGTGAGAGCATCTACAACGCTTTACTCAAAATTTTCATCAAATTTCATTTAAATTTGATAATAAAAAAACTTGATCTGATATTGTGCGTTCCAACAGAGTGTTTGGGATTTCATCAAACCATCAGTCGACCGAGGGACGACCGGCCTATTGACCAATGAGTATAAATTTTCCAAAAAATCTTGCAAGGAGGTGGTCTACCAGGGGGACATTCGGCAAATTGTTCGGTACTCAAAAGCTAACAACTCTCTATAGTAATTTGGTAAAAGATTCCAGCATCCTCACTTTAATGAAAATTTTGAAATATTTTCAATTTGATGAAACAAAAGATGAAGTGTCTGAGTATTAGTTTTGTACAATTTTTTATCAAATTTAACTTTGATGAAACAACAGATGAAGGATTGAAGATAGTCTGAGGGAAAGTAAACGAAGAAGAAACAGAGGCAGAGAAAGTATCCCCTTGTTTGATTAGAAAATACTTAATTAAGGAGAGATATTCTTAATTTAGATATTTTAATATATTATTACAAAAACACATTTTATTTATTTCCTGTTTCTTCTCAATTTCAAAGGGAAAGTGGAGGAGTCACGATCCCCTCCTTGCAATTCCTCCTTGCAATCCTCTTTGCAATGACTGAGATTACCCGTTGCAACATCCAACGGCCATAAAAAATAAATAAATAAAATAAAGAAATTGAAATCAGTCGTTAGAAGCCGTTGCAAGGAGAATTGCAAGGAGTTGCAAGAAGGAAATCCCAACTCAAAGTGGAGTGCTTAAAATGTTTTTACTCTGTTTCCCTCATAACTCTCCATGCACTTTCCTTTCCTTCCCTTAAAAATATTCAAAAATGATTTTAGTTAATTTTATCCCTCTAAATCCTACACTTCCTCTCTTAAACCATCAATCCAAGGCATAGCTTTGCTATAAAAAAAAAATAGCAAGCCAAATAACAAACCATTGGAGACTAAAAGTTGAATTCTATATCATTCTATAACAATAGTTTACTACGGCTCGTTTAGGAATAGTTTTTTTTTTTATTTTTTATTTTTTTAAAATAAAATATGATGTAAAAAGAAATATTATGTTTGGAAAGAATTTTTTTAATTTTTTATGAAAAGATGTAAAAATATAATATAAATAAAATAAAAATATGTAAATTAACACTTTTACCCTTCAAAATTAATGATCAATCTGTAGGCATGTGACTTCACCTGACATGCAGCATAAATTATTACGACATGTCAACTATATAGGCTTAGGTGATATGGCAGAATTGTTGGGTATATCTCCTTATTCAAGTGTGAGATTTAATTAGTTTGTTAAAGAATTTTAATTTGACTTGGTTTAGGTATAATATATTTTTATATATTATATTTGAGGACACCCAATCTAATTTAGAAACAATTAGGGTTTGATTACAAAACCCTAGATTCACAACATATATATTGTTTTTGTTTGCCCCAGAGGAGAAGTGTGTGCGGCGGCTTACATTACTTCGGTAACAGTGCCGAAGATTGGTATATTGGTTCAATTTCGGTTTTTTTTGAAGCTCAGTTTTTGGGGCATCTTCGGTTGGTGTTTGGTTCGTTATTTTGGGTCTTCTATAACTCTGTTTCAGAAGATTTTGGTTCATCTATTTAGTGAGGCCTTTCCTCTTTGTTTATTTGTGATTATTTGGAATTCACCTAAGGATGGTTTGGTGAGACCATTAGTGTCTCGTTTGTAATCGTTTGGAAACTATTTGGTTGATAGTGGAATCAGATTTCGATCCCGTCGACGGCCCTCACATTGAGGGAACCACGTAAAAATTCTTGTGTTGCCTTTGATTTAATTTTTTCGCATTAGTTTTTATTCTCATTGATTGATTTACTTGTGGAGAATCACATATTATCTTCACCGATTTATATGCCCCTTTTTTTTCAAAATATTAGTTATTTATTTATTTTTTTATTGTCTCAAATATTAATTATTTTTTAAAAATTAAAAAATAAAATAATATAAATTTATTATTTTATCCTTCTTTTAATTCATTAATAACACAAAAGTATAATTATAATAATTGATATTTCTAAAAAATATACTATTAATTATCATTTTAGGATCAAAAGTTATCTCAAAAAATTAACCTTTTCGGATCATATAGTTTTTTAGTACATTTATTAGTGACATTCAAAATTTAGATGGGTAAAAGTTATTTTTTGACTTTTTAAATTTTTTTATAAAAAAAATAAATTAAAAGTTAGAAAGTGACTTTTAACCCTCTTCTCAAAATAGGCTTAGTTGCATAGGATAAAATTATAAACTTTTAATTTTTTTAATAATTTTTTAATTTTTAAACTAAAATCCTCGGTCAAAATGTTTAAATAAGAAGTTGTGGGAAAAGTTCTAACTTGCTAAAGTACTTGCTATTTCATTTGATTGGAATCCACTTTTTCGAACTTTGTTTGATTTGATCTTTCATAAAATATTTTTACTTTTTATAGACATCTAATTTTGTTTGAGTTTTCATTCGTTTTTAATAAAAAAGATTTATATTTTAGTTCTTTTTGTACATATTTTATTTTTAGAGAAATGAAGATTAGGAGCATCTAAAATAATTTAAAAAATAAATGACTAAAACAGGAAGAAAAAAATATTACTAAAGACAAATGAAAACTCCTTAAAAACAAATTTTAAAAAATCAAACCAAACAGAATCTAGGATCTCACATTGTTTGGTTTATTTCACTTTTTTAACAATTGAGTTTTTTGTTTTTTATTTTTATTTTTAGTGAATTTTTTTTTTATTGTTTAGATGTACCTAATTTAAATACACTTATAAGATAAAATAGGGAGATTTACGTGTAGGTCTTAATATGTAGAT